TACTATAGTGCACACTGGGATCAACAGCTTAAATATGTGTGTGTGTGTGTGTGTGTGTGTGTGTGTGTGTGTGTGTGTGTGTGTGTGTGTGTGTGTGTGTGTGTGCGCGCGCATGAGGATAAAGTCAGTGAGATGGGATATAACAGCACAGAGGAGAGTGGATGTACACATAGATGAAACAAATGACAGCTGGGAATGGGGAAAACATTCAGACAGCAACATTCTAAACAGAACTGTTATGAAAAAATGTCCAAAAGCACTGATAAGCTGTATAAAAGCATGCACTGAGTTTGTAAGTAATTTAATGTCCATGTTTAATTAGAACTTCAATTCAATGTTATTTATATAGCGCCAAATCACAACAACAGTTGCCTCAAGGCGCTTTATATTGTAAGGTAGACCCTACAACAATAGATAAAGAGAAAAACCCAAGAAACTTGCAACTGTTCTTGCATTACCCAACCTCACCCCAACCCAGGGCATGATGATACCTCCACCCGACCTGATGTCCTGGGTCCCCCTTGCTGTAGCATTTATGTTGTACGTCATGAGTCTTGTCATAGTTGTGATAGCAGTTGCTTCTTCCAGATGTTAGATTACTGAGCTACTAGTTTTTTCGATGTTAGTGTAGTTGTTGGGTGTAAAAGAATCCATATTTCTTGTCATGTAACTCCTTCCGCTGCTATTGCAGCATAGTGTAGTAGCATGCCAACAGCTCCCTATTCTCATTCCTCGTCTTCTTATGCTTTATTGTTTCAGTAGCCCACTTCTCATCAATGTGCCCTAGTTCCTTAACATCTGATACAGACTTTGTTAATGCAGGCAATGTCCAGGTATGGATTTTGTGGGCTATGTGTCTCTTGCTCATATTTCTGATGCTCATATTCCCTCACAAAAAAAAAAATGTCCCTACTCGACCTGTAGACAGCCTTTATCCTAGTTTGGGTTCTCTATCCACTACCATGGGCCTGAGCGCTTGAGGGTCCTGCGCATAGTGGTTCCATTTACCATTTTTTTTAGCTACTGGGTAGAGCTACATCTATCACTACAGCCATCTTTCTCTGCTTGTCCACCACTACTATGTCAAGTGGGTTAGCCACCACTAGTTTGTCTGTCTATATCTGCAAGTCTCACAGGATCTTAGCTCATGGTGTTCCATGCCCTTCCTGCTAGCATCTTGCACCCTGCGCTTATGTGCTGGATTGTCTCTAGATCTTTGCACAGCCTGCGCCTTGGAACTTGCCTTGTGTGATAGACCCCACCCCCAGCCACTGGTAAGGTTTCTTGATGCGAGTCACTTCTTCTGTAGTACGGTAACCCTACAAGTACTAGGGTACAAGATCAAGGATATATGTAGATATAGATCCTCGTGGACAAGAAGGCTGGAAGCCAAAATCAGGGTAGCACAGAAGGATTTTCATTTTTTTAACTGAGACATGATCCATGCCTACCTCTGAAGAAGCTAACGGCAGTCCACAGATGATAGGAAGCACAAAGGAGGTGGCTAACAGCAGGTACTCATCTAGACTGACTAACAAAGGGTAGACAATCCTGATCATGAAGGATGCTCACAAGGGCACGCCATCATGAAATTACTGGCCAATTACCTGCCTCTCCCACACATGGCAGCTCCTGTCAACATTGTAGCTACCAAGCTGAGTAGGTGCATTAGTCAGTATGTAACCACAGTTCAGAAAGGCATTGGAAAAAACACCAGAGGGCCAAAGAACCAACTTCTTATTAATAGAGCAGTAGACCAGGACTCTAAGACCAGGCAGACAACCTGAGCAACCTGGATTGACTACACGAATGCCTGAAACGAGGTCATTTTGGACCATGCTTTGTGCACTGGTCATGTTGTCATGTTGGAACTATTCCTACATAGTCGGGAGCTTGAAACTGTCAAATACATCTTGGTATGATGAAGCATTAAAAGTTCCTTTTAATGGAAATAAGTAGTTGAGCCCAACTCCATAATACCCCTCCACCAAACTTTACACTTAGAATAATGCAGTCAGACAAGTACCATTCCCCTGGCAAAATCTCTGCTCGTCCATCAGATTGCCAGTTGGAGACATGACAAATTTCAATGCAATAATAAATCAGGCAAATATCTGGCAAACCTACTTAAGCAAAATAAAGAAAAAACAACAATTACAGTTATCAAAGACTTAGCAGGGAAACCATTTCGTAATCTTAAAGATATAAATAAATGTTTTTAGGACGTTTGACATGAATCTGTACACTTCTGACCATGACTCGAATATGGAAGATATTCACAAATTTCTTAGTGCTATAGATCTGGCTCATTTAACACAAGACCAAGTTAGGATGTTGGATAAACCTATTGCTCTAGAAGAACTATTCTGTACTCTTAATCAAATCCCCAATAATAAGGCACCTGGCCCAGATGGAGTCCCTGCTGGGTCCTACAAACATTTTTGGCCAACCTTGTTCCCACTATTTATAAGAATGACAGATAAATTTATGATTACCTCTAGAATTCCTCCTACCACGAATACTGTTGTTAAAACCGAATAAAGATCTCACTCAGTCAACTAGTTATACACCACTTTCTCTGGTAAATAAAGACATTACAAATATAAGCAAGGTCCTAGCATCCTGCTTTGAGAAAGTAATTCCAGCACTTATCCATCCTGACCAGACAGGTTTCATCAAAGCCATTCATCTATAAACACTCATAAACTATTTAACTTAATGCTTTCACAGTATCAAAAAAGTAACACTCTAATTGTATCACTCGATACAGAAAAAGTATTTGACAAAGTCAACTGTAAATTCCTGTTTGCAATATTTGAGAAATTTGGATTCAGAGAATCATTTCTCAATAGGATAAGAGCATTTTACACATTGGTTGACTCCCTCTGATCAGGTCTGGGGGCAGCCCAGAACTCCATGGTCCCAACTTCAAAATGCTTCCGCAAAGGAAGAGAAGTGGAGGGCAGGGGTTCGGGATGTAGATGGGGTCATCCAATAGCCGGACGTACCAATCATTCAAGACCCACCTTGCTTCTAGTCCCCCCAATACTTGTGTATTAATGTGAGCAGGTGGTCTGAGAATAATAATGACTTGAAAAGCGCCATAAAAAAAGGGGGGGGGGGAGGAAGAAGGAAGATGGAAGGAGTGAAAGAAGAAGGGGCGTGGATGACTATGAGTTACTTCTTATTCTGAATTCATCAATTTGGATGAGTGAGTGAATAGTTTTACTGACTCCTCACTCCATTGAGGGTCATTGATGCTCAGACTGGGGATTGGGACACACCCCAGTTGTGTCATGGAGATCAGGCTCAAATTTTCAGATAATTTCCAGTCTGGAAAGTTTCCCATCCAGATGATGTGCAGTAATTGAGTTTTTTTTCTTTAAAATGAACAATAGAAAGTTCCTACCAGCTATTTGATACTATATAATACTGATATACGCTTTATGGGCAACAATATCTCAATAAATAATGCCATTTATTAAACCTGCTTGGCAGAATTTGGTACTTTTGAGTGTGTTAGGTCCCGGGGAATACCCAAATATATTACAACAGTACTAATCAAGGGAGAACATCATTACGAACAAAATGAATGACAAAGTCATAAAAATTTGGAATGATTAAAAAAACCCCACCTAAGATAAATGACAGCAAATATCTTTCTGGGGTCTGCATGCACCCAAGTCAGTAGGATGAGGGTTAAGAGAAGATCCTGTAACTGCAGTTTGAGGGAAAATCTAAAATTTAATAATTTATTTTACGAAATTTAAAAAGCATTAGCATTAAAAAAAAAAGTTAAGTTTGTTTATATATGCTGTCAATTTCAGTTCTTTTAAGGAAATGAGAATGAGCAAAAAAACCACTGGTCAATCGGCTAAGAAAACTGCAATCTATAACTGAGAACACAGAGCATTACAAATGACTTTATACAACTCTTGCTATCGTCCATTCCTTAATAAAAATTTAAGCTTAGTTTTAATGATTACATTTACTACAGAGAGCAAAAGAAGCGATCTGAAAAGTTTTGGTAAGTACTAGGGGAGCACCAATACAATATTTGGATCAGATATCGACCCGATCCTGGCTCAAAAAAGTAAATCAGCTGTTGGTGACAATGGGCCAATCCATGGGGCTGTCTATTTGCTGTCTATCTGGTTGGTATTGGGAGACCTAATGGAGAAAGCTTACAGCAAATTATCAGTTTTGGCATATCTGAAGATATTTCATAATCATTACACCAACACCCTTTGTATTTACAAAGGTTTTCGATTTAACTACAAACTGTGGACAAGCTCAGATTTGGAGTCACTTTTACTGTCATTATGTTTGGTAAGAGAGACATTATATAAGGTAGAAGGCCAAAGGCTGCTGATTTTGTGTAACACTCGATGGGAAGCTTAAATTGCACTTATGGTAACATAACATTATGAACACAATCTGCCCACTGAAACTAGAGTCTTTAAGAAAAACAACTGTGAAACTTGTGAATGCATTTTAATATACGATCACTTGCCAAACAGGAAGTCTTAGCGTGTTTTCTAAAGACTTTTTGAGTTACGAATAAATCCATATTTGTTTCTTTTTGTTTGCAAGAAGGGGATTTAAATTTTCATGATATTCTCCCAGTTTACACGATTATGCAACATAATGTATGCAAAGCTGATACTGAAGCAGATCTTTATGAGGCAAAGAGAAAGAAACACTTTGAACCTGAGTGACTCTCACCGGTCTTACATATGGGGCAGCAGTGGTTGGGTTCGTAGGTGGGGTTAACGCAGTGTGGGGCTGGGCACTCTGAAATGCTGCAGTACACCTCTCTGTTGGGCTCACAGCGACATCGCTCACACCTTGACAGCTGAAACACACAGGTAAGCGTGAACATCATTATTACATGTTAACATTTGGATAGTCTGCATGGTCTCAAAATAAAGATGCGTAACAATGGTAGGGTTAGAGCTGCTTTTTCTTTAACATTCTGGTGCCTTCAGAATGTTAAAAAAAGGCATCCTTTTTTTTAAAGTGCTAGTGCTCTGGGCAGCAAACCCATCCTGGACCCATCCTGCCCTCTATCAACAGTTTAATGCTTCTGTAATAGGGTGGTGTGTTAGTACGAGGGATCATTTCTTTGCACACTTTGGATTTCCCAGTACCAGCCCAGTATTATTTAAATGCCAGCACCTATCTGAATATTGTTCCTGACCAATGTCCATCACCTTGAGACTACAGTCTACACATCTCCCTACACATCACATGTCACAAAGCTCACACCACTCAAATGGTTTCTTGAACATTAAAAAAGGTTCAGTGTACTCAAATGGCTTCCACATTCACCAGCGCTCTGTCCAATAAAGCACCTTTGTGATGTGGTGGAACAGGAGATTGGCTCATGGATGTGCAGCTTTTAAATGTTATCATGTCAGTCTAGACCAAAACCTCTGAGGAATGTCACCTTGTTGAGTCAATGTCAAAAGTAGTTAAGGCAGCTCTGAAGGCCAAAGGGGATCAAACCCAATATTAGCAAGTAGTAACAATTGAGTGTATATCTAAAACGTATTTATGGAATTTATTGTAGGTTACTTCTTAGCTTATTCGTGTAAGCCTCCAAACAATCATAAATTGGGCCAAACAACCTGCAACAGCAGGAAGGGTCTGGGTTTGAATTTGGTTGTCTGAGTTTACAGAAGTTCGAGATAATGAATCACTGCAACAAGGAAAATCTTTTTTTCTAGACATTTACTCAATGACCTGAAAATTAAGAATTTAACATTTCACCTTTCATCCCAAAGTTATTCAAGCATGTTGCAAACTTGCTGTTTTTTGTTTTGTTTTTTCCCCCTCTGGTTTTAGATGAGTTGGTAATTTCACATTACATGATTATGTATTACCAATGAAAAATGTATCAGTGACATGATGACGTATAGTATTACTGCATGCATTAAAACTATTCTGGCAAAAACAGCTGTGTTCTGTAAAATAAGGCATATAAGGGCTGTGTATCTAAAGTTTGCACATTCTGAACTAGTTTGAATAAGTGTTGTGAAACAACAAAACAAAACCAAAAATCCCCCGCAAACCCTGTAAACCTTTTTTTTTTCTTTTCCTGTAAACGTGTTGCTTATTTCTTTGGAACACTTTTAGAAAACATCACAGTGACACAGCGAGGATGCTATACAAAACATTCTATGCTTTACATGTGCCATGCAGCTGCAAGACGAGGAGAAAATACACTATTTTACTGAGCGGCAAAAAAGCAAACAATAATTTATGAACTTTATTATAAGTAGGTGATGGAAAAACATCTGGATTGAGAGAGGATCCCTACTAGCATGGAACACATCAACAGGGTTGTAATATTATGAACTTGTGGCTGGGACATGGATTGGAGGAGTTATTCAGAAGTTTGGCTCTTTCTCACCCTGAACTCCTCCAGCAGCCTGTATGTTTTGCCTCCGTAGACACAGACTCTGGCCATAGCCTCGCACACCGGGCAGCACGCTTTATACCTGATCCGCGTGCACCGGGGGTGGATGCGAGGACACTTGGGTCGGACGCATACTGGGCCGTCGATGGTGCATGTGCATGGACACGACGTAGGGCTCGGGTAGTAAACCTCTCCGATGCTGTACACGAAGCCGTGGTCGTCGATACACCACTTCCCCCTGTAGTCGCCGAACTCGTAGTCCAAGTCGGTTTTGGAGTATTCCGCAGCAACCGCCACGCGCGCCGGACCGTGCGGCAGCGGAAGGAGTAGCAGGATCAGCACGAGCAGGACTGAGAGATAGCGGTTTGCCATGGCGAGCAGGTTACCTGACACTAAACCGTGTGTGCGATTACTGAGGAGCTTCTCTAACCGAACTTCTCCTCCTACTATCAGGAGCGCCTGTGACGCCCATACATGCGCGTCACCCTGGAGCGTCACTGAAATTACCCGAGGACAGCAGGCGGCTCCCCGAGCCCTTAATTTCGGCCAAATCCGGAGGTAACGTTAGGATATTAAAGCGCAGGGAAGGGCAAATGTTTGATCATAGCTTAGTTTCATAATAACACATTTTTAGGGTCAAAATGTGGTAAGAAAAAAGGGAAAAAAGGAGGAAAGAGCAAAGCTGAACAAAAGTTATAGACGTGTGCAAGGTGTTATCTGGGAGAAAAGTCAAGGGGGCGCGGTTGTTTAAATATTTTATGTTGTTTTTATTCATGTTTAAGGAATAATGAATGATTTTCAACTAAACAAAGTTGGAACCTAAACATATTACCACTATATTTACATAAAAATTGTATTCTCCTTTTCTTTAAATTCATTATTTATACAGCAGCCATAGTTTCATGTTTGATAATTTGCTCACCAAATAAGATTAAATGTCATTTTAACTTCCTACGATTGCCTTTTACATTGCTCCAGAGGTTCCAACTTTAACATGTCAGACAAATAAATGAATAATTAAATACTACTGGAATCTCTGAAAATAAATCCTTCATTTTGTAACAGACAGCGGATGGAAACCATGAACAGAAACAGCATTTGTATATGATAACAAAATCGTATTCCATCGCATTAACATCAATATTATTATTGTATGGCAAATCTTTTGTTTTGTTTCAGTCCTTTGTTTATTTTTACACAGCAAAATCTCCAGTGTTAAATTAACACTAGAGGAGAGTGTCTATATGGGTCCACACCTCTGAGTGTTAAATTAACACTTTTGACAGTGTTATATGTTTAAAAGTAACCTAGTCAGTTTTGAAGATTAACAATGGCTAACACTGAGCAGTGCTGATTTTCTAACACTGGAATATTTCTAACATTTTGAGTTATTTTCCAGTGTTAGAAAATCAGCACTGCTCAGTGTTAGCCATTGTTAATCTTCAAAACTGACTAGGTTACTTTTAAACATATAACACTGTCAAACGTGTTAATTTAACACTCAACAGTGTTGTATTTAACACTCAGAGGTGTGGACCCATCTAGACACTCTCTATTGTTAATTTAACACTGGAGATTTTGCTGTGTAGGAATGAAGTATTGCATAAAATGTGTATGTGTAACTGTTTTTAAGCTAAGTAATGTCATGGATTGTGCTGGTTTCATTACCTTTAGATGTAATGTCTGTTTAACATGTTACATTTAACCCAAAACTATGTGAAAAAGTACTCTTTGTGTCTGTCCCTAACCAAGCATAATCGATATTACTCAAATCAAACGTTTAGTTTTTTGTTTATTTTGCTAAACTTAGTTTTTGTAACTTGATCTAGCAAAATAGTTTCCATGCTTTAATGAAACCACAATAGCCGGGGATGTGTGGTATCTGTGTTGCACTCAGCAGTGATGCAAGGTTGTACCTGGTCGTGGAACCCATTGAGTGATTCTTAGGACACTCTGTCATGTCCCATGATCCACTCCACAGGAGATTTTCCACTGGACCAACTGAATCCAAATAAATAATAAATAAATACTTCTATTTACCAGTGATTTGGGTGCGATAGCAAGGGCATTTCCAAACAAACTGAAGTCAGTTATTCTACAGTGAGAAAGGTTATTCACAAGTGGGGGAAAAAAGTTGACTTTCTTCGCAGGAGTGGACATTCCTGCAAAATCACTTCACGGTCCACCTGTGCAATGCTCAGATAAAATGCAAAACAAAACAACAAACAAAAACAGCTTCATCTTTAACTCTACAGGCCTCAGTTAACATTTTAAATGTTAAGGTTCATGACAGTACATTTGGAAAATAACTAAACAAGTATTACTTGTTTGGAAAGGCTACCAAAGCTCTCAAAAATCAACACATCATACCAAAATCTAAAATATCTCAAGAGCAGATGAAAAACAAAATTCACTGACATCTATCAGTCTGGAAATGGTTACAAAGTCATTCCTAAGGCTTTGAGACTACAGCAAACCACAGTGAGAGCAATTATCCATAAATGAAAAAAACTTGGATTAGTGGTGAAGCCTCCCAGGTTTGGCCCACCTACCACAATTACTCCAGGAAAGGGTTAGGGTGGACTGGTGCCCGCTGAACTACCTCCAGATCAACACCAGTAAAACCACGGAGCTGGTGGTAGACTTCCGCAGGCACAAATACCATCCAAGGTATGGACATTGAGGCTGTGGACAGCTACAGGTACCTTGGTGTTTATCTGAACAATAAACTGGACTGGACTCACAATTCAGACGCCCTCTACAGGAAAGTGCAGAGCAGGCTGTACCTGCTGACTCATCCAGGAGGTCACAAAAATCCAGAACAATATCTGAACAACTGCAGGCCTCACTCGCCCCAATTGAGGTCAGTAATGATTCAACATGGTTCAACAAACAGCTTAAAAATGCTGAACTGAGACATTTTGCACTGAAAAATTCCATCACAGAGATGAGAATGAGTAATTGCAGTTCTTGCTGTCATGCTATTACAGGAATGGTGGCAAGGCCATTGGACAGTTACTTTTCATATAGCAAATGTTTAGATAGCTTCGATAGATGGATAAGTCATATAGAAAATGATTACTTCTTTTGTACTGTACCTGATCAAGACCCATGCTTGCTAGGTATGGCCCCACTAGGGGGCCCTGATTACCCACTTTAAGACAAAGTATCTAAGATTTATTGGGAAGTTTTTGAATTATGATTATTCTGGCCTCTTCCAGGAGATCAGTTTGCTTTGGAAGACCCTGCCAGGGCCTATTTCCACGAACATCACAGCTAAAAGAACTTTAGCTAAACTAAACCAAATTGAGGCAGCAATATTTTGAACATCAGCCTCACCAGAAGATAAGGGATCTGACAAGCTGAATAAGAAGTCCTATTAAACTTGGTTGGCAGAAAGTTCTATGGAAACAATATTTGTTTTGTTGTTTCCAGGAGAATTGAAGAAACGAGTGGAAAGAGGGGAACATGTAGTATACCGAGACGAAAGGAGCAGAAATACTCACCACGGACACTGGGAGAAGTCACAGCACGGGAGCAGGGAACAAGCACCCTAAGAGAGCACGCACTGGGGATTATTTGCATTTTGTCATTTGTTCACTCTAAATAAACACACTGTATTCTACATAGGAAGTCCTCGTTTGGGTCCTCCCTTTGCCAGCCTGACCTCCCTTTTGCCTCTCTTCCATAGTTCATTTCATTGGTACACAGAGCATGTTTGTTGGGTTAAAAGTCAAGGGAGATGAGCAAAATTTGTATCACAGTTGAATAAAAATGCCAGAGTCTTGGGAATCACTTCAGTGATTTTAATGCAACAAGTTTGGTTCAACTGCACCAGTGGAGACAGCATGGGGAGTTGACAACGATGGCTGTAGGTAAATGAACATAACAGACAATTTGCATAATGGTTTACTTGTTACAGCAACAGGATAAGCATGTGCAAGCTACTGGATACAATATAGCTATGCTCCTAAGCAGAAGGACAACATAGAACTACCACCTATGAATTTATATTGCCATATGAACATGTGTTTCTAAATATTACTCAAAGGGATAAAGTAAGTTCATGAAATCCAAAAAATAAAAGGCATCTTAGGCAACATCTGAGTCTCTCCTGACTCTCCTGACTGTCAGTAAATATGAAAGACATTCTAAGTCCTTTGGATACAGTTATCTATGTATTCTAACTTATTCTCACACATAACGTCAATAATGTCAGCAGCTGGTTGGTGGACTATAATTTCTGTCTTTAAGTCATCAGCATTACAGCATAAGCAGAATATGAAAGACTAACAACATTTAAGATGGTCAAATTGTTATGCATCCACAACACCACTATTATTCCTTCTGTAGGGCCAGGTGTTAAATCCTGTATTTGGTTGTGTGCATCATCCTTGACAGCTCACAAACCGTTTCCTAAAATATTTTCTGGTTAAAAACAAATGTACTAGGCTGCTTATATTTATTTTTATCAATACATCTTTATTTCAAAAAGGTGTTGAAGCAGATTTTCAGTGTCTTTTCTCTCTGTCCTTATTCTCCTCCATTTTTCTCCTTCTGTTAATTTTCTTCCCAACTTCTCTTTTTCCTTTTCTTTTATCTTTCCCATTCCATGGTCATGTCTGTTCTGATTGTAATAACTCTAAATAATAATAATAATAAAAATAATAATAATAATAATAATAATAATATATTTTTTTAAAAACCTAATAAACTATGACAATCAAGTGTACCAGTATAGGATTTAGGACACGGCCCCCTGGAGTCTAGATGGTGGTGGTGGTGGTGAAGATGAAGACTGAGGTTTGAATAGAGCTCTGTCTGAGGTGTCTGAGGTGGAGATGGGGAGGAGGCAGGCTGCACAAAAAAAGTCTAAAAAAAGAACAATGGAGAGCTGAGATTTAAAGCATGCGAAGCAGAGGCTAATTGGCTCAAAGCAAAAGGGTGAAAAGATGATTGGACTAAAGTAATGATGTCAGTATTGAGATTGACAGTGTGAGAAAGCAGTAGACATGTAAACAGAAAAGCAGCTGAACACCCAAGAAAGCAGGCAGATGACTGATGACTGATCTTACTTATTGAATTTATGCATAAGCTTCATTGCTAAAGTAAAAACTTGTACCTTACTGTAAGAATATTAACCTAACCAATTAAACATATGTCCTGAATAGGAGAATTCAATAATCAAATGTGGATAATGAAATGTTTTATTTGACCCCACAGTTTGCCTCTTTTACTTCCTCCTCTTCTTCAACATGCTTCTTCCCATCAGGCTGCTTCACCCATTGCAGTTTGAAGACTCCACTCAGGCCATGCTCTGTCAGTCTCTGTCTGAACTGTGAAACATAAATGCTTCATTAATATCCTGTTGAATCTTTAAATATCTCTGATTAATGAGACTTGTCTGTGGGAAAACGTTTTAATAAATCATTTACCTAGAGGTAAAGAAAGAGCTTCATCACTTGATGAACATGT